ATTGCCTCTACTCCTCAAGACAACAGAACAAACATGCAACTATTACCGAATGGCATCATGCAGAAGAGTTAACGCTCAGATGCTACTGGATCGCTAACAACAACAACAACATATATAACAGACATACCTTCACATTTGCTACTTATATATATAACAGACATACCTTCACATTTGCTACATATAACGTTTTTCTGCAGAGCCAACTTTCTTGTGGAGCCGTTGTACAGATCTTCCAGAGGAACCTGTCCACAAACAAATCAAATTGTTAACCCTATCCGTACGTCGTGTTTTTACTATCGTATCCATACGACGTGGGGAACTCTGTGCCACCACTCAACCCTATCCGTATGCCGTGTTTTACTATCATATCCATATGACGCGAGGAACTCTGTGCCACCACTTAACCCTATCCGTATGCCGTGTTTTACTATCGTATCCATACGACGTGAGGAACTCTGTGCCACCCCTTAACCCTATGCGTACGTCGTGTTTTACTATCGTATCCATACGACGTGGGGAACTCTGTGCCACCACTTAACCTTATCCGTACGTCGCGTTTTACTATCGTATGCATACGACGTGGGGAACTCTGCGCCACCACTTTCCAACAATATTTCAAAGAGATCTTCGCACTAAAAATATACTAAAATAAGAAGAATACAACCCCTGAGGGTACAAAGCGACCCCTGAGGGTACAAAGTGACCCCTGGGGTACGGAGAGGGTTAATTAATCAAAATAGTAATTATTATTATCAATCACTACAACATTGGAAAACATACCATAAGAAATGACGTTTTGATAATAGACAGCATTTGTATAGCGTAAATCCCCGCCCAGCAGCAAGCTCTATGTGCTCCACAATCTATACTACTACCCCAGCAGACCTGAGAGCATTCTGAAACAATCTCAACTTCCTGGGAAGCATACAGTGCAAGCAGCCATTTATAGGCGCTAAAACACTAACATACTGACAAGATCTTTCGCTGTCTGTGACCGGGTACCCATTCCCACCTGGGTGATGTGAGGAAAATTTGTGTAAAGTGTCTTTCCCAAGGACACAACGTCGGGCCCACGGCTCGAACCCCCGACCCCGCAACCTCACGATTATGAGTCCCGTTGCCCAACCACAGATAGCAAATCCTCATTCGTTTTTTCCTCTTGTTCTAACAACAGAGTGAGCCAACGTCTTAACATGTCCACACATTTCCTGCCACACATGCCAACGCGCGGCATCAAATCGGGACGCTGCCACTACGCTTTTACTTCCGTCTCTTTTTCAACATTTCAACTATTTCAACTTTTAAACTAAAACAAAGCTGTGCTATGAACTAACACACCCCCCCCCCCCCCCCCCCAAAAAAAAAGCAAAATCAACTCGAGTTCCACGCGCTCATGTGGCCTTATGTAGTTGAGAATATTGTACATAAAAATCTAACCACAACAAACAAATCGGGATGTGAAGAGAGAGAGAGAGAGAGAGAGTGAGTGAGAGAGTGAGTGAGAGGGAGAGAGAGAGAGAAACAGAGAGTGAGAGTGGGAGAGAGAGAGAAAGAGAGAGAGAGGGGGGAGAAAGTAAAAAGACAAAACCAGCTTAGTTTTAGTTTTAGTAAGAGTATTACGGCACTTGCAACACAATAAGGTCATATATAAGTGTTGACAAAATAGAGGTGGTACAAGAGAGTAACAAACACAAAAAAGAAAGAGGAGAGATCAGAAAGATAGATGTTTGGTAGGAAAGAATAGAGCAAACCACACCAGAGCACCCGCCAACCATCCACAAACAAAAACAAAAACAACCAACCACATCCAGAACAAAAGCCCACTGACCTTGAGCTGGTGTATGACGTCCTTGCCCTTGCGCGGGCCCCGCGGGCCGCCTCCCCTCCGCCCGCCCCCGCCAAAGAAGAGATCAAAGATGTCCATGGGGGAGTGGAAGTCGAATCCGCCCCCGGTCCCTCCCCCCTTGATGGCCTCCTCCCCGCCCCGGTCGTACAGCTCTCTCTTCTTGGGGTCAGACAGCACCTCGTACGCCATACTGATCTGCTTGAACTACAAGGAAAAAACAAACAAATGAAAATTTTTTTTTTTTAAAAACACTTTGAGGTAGTTTTTTAAAGTTTTAGCAGTGGTTTTAGTTTTAGTAGAGGTTTTACGGCGCTCGCAACTGCATAAGGTCATACGAGCGCCAGAAGATTAGAGGTGTTACAAGAAAGTAACAAACATAAAAAAGAAGAAGGGGAGATAAGGACGATAGACGTTTCATAGGAAAGAAGAAGCAAACCACACCACCGTACCAACTCCAGTGAGACTGAACACACAGTGCTACAAATGAGAGTGAGTGAGTGAGTGAGAGAGAGTGAGAGAAAGAGAGATGGAGAATGTTTTACGGAGCGGGTTGTCCCAGCACGTGAGACATGTATTTACTAATGTCCTGTCTTGTTGTGAGTGTATGCGTGAGTGCACCTAACCTTTGTAACGTCTACTGCCATTGTTAACGACCAAGACAAATTTCTCCCTGCGAGATGAACAAAGATTGTCACTGTCACTGTCAAAGGACAAAAATTATTCTATGTTCATAACGACCAAGACAAATTTCTCCCTGCGAGATGAACAAAGATTGTCACTGTCACTGTCAAAGGACAAAATTATTCTATGTTCATAACGACCAAGACAAATTTCTCCCTGCGAGATGAACAAAGATTGTCACTGTCACTGTCAAAGGACAAAATTATTCTATGTTCATAACGACCAAGACAAATTTCTCCCTGCGAGATGAACAAAGATTGTCACTGTCACTGTCAAAGGACAAAAATTATTCTATGCTCAAAGGAAAAAACAATTCCCTTACAGTGGTAGTAGATGCCACAACTGTTCCCATAATGTGCAGAGTAATTTAAGCAAGTATTCCTCTGTGACTTAACAAGCAAAATACGAAATGCCAAGTTTAAAACAGCAAAAAGAAACTCACGGTCACTAAGGAGAACAACAGTCGTGTATATATATAGGCCTGAAGGACTTCCGTAACGAGCGACCACCCCAACGACCTTTATAAAAAACAGACCTCCCCCTGGCCCAAACCCTTGTCCCCCTGGCCCAAACCCTTGTCACCCTGGCCCAAACCCTTCTCACCCTCTATCTATCTCACAGTGTGGTCACTCATCATGCAACTCCTACCATCTTATTCAGCTCAAGGCAGAAAATAGGGAAAGACTTCCGTAACGAGCGACCAACCCCCCCAACAAACACCACTACATAAAGATGAGACGACCAACCCCCCCAACAAACACCACTACATAAAGATGAGACGACCAATCCCCCCCAAACAAACACCAATACATAAAGATGAGACATAACCCTAACCCTCGAGTTTCTATCCTCTTATTTGACAGTGGCCGCTCAATACGGATTCTCTCCGGCAAAGTGATAGCCCCTTAAATAGCCTTTAAGTGATTTGTCTTCACTGAACCTGATCCTATTCTCAAAACCTTTCCCTGCTTTTGAAAAAAGCACTTCAAGCTTTTTAAAACCATATTAAGTGCCTGCATTAACATTACAAGTGAATTGTTATATATATATATACACATGTAAGTGAAAGCTTCTTTCAGCATAGTTCTTCACTAAACCAGACAACAACAAACCCACATTTACTGACGTAATTAACCTACAGTTCCAAGATGGTAACACCATGTGTGTCCCTGCCGGTCAATATCAGTCACATCATTTTCAAAAACTATCGCCTTTTCCCTACAATTAAAAAAAAAAATGAAGTAAATATGACCATACTGGACGAAAATACAGAGCTTTTAATTGTGCAAGGTGAGGAAACATGAAATGGGGAAAATGGCCTCCGAAGTTGAGCAACATGTTTCCATAGCAATGGAGGTCTTAGAATTGAGATAGAAACTTGAAATTTACAGTCAATTATAGTCGTTTATTTTAATTTTAAAATAAAGCAGAACACATAAAACTTTCAATTGATTCAAAAAAACAAAAATTGAGCCTCATAGTTGATAATAGCATACTGCGTCTTACGACTGATATTGACCATGTGAGACAGATATATTCAGTATACCTTGACAAGCCAACACAACACAAACTTCACACCACCACAGAAGTTGGGAGGGCACTCCTGTACAATTGCGCGGTCCCGTTTGTTTACAAGACGGCCATTGGGGAGGTGAATCTAGATCATCTCTTTAGCCTAGATAATCTAACTTTAGAGAATACCAGTCATTTCGTCACACCGGTGCAGTCAAGACGTCACAGTCATCTCGTCACACCACATATCCACAAGGTTGAATGGAGACGGTCATTTCGTAGCACACAACAAAGTTTTTAGGTATTACTATTGATGAAAGGTATGATAGGCAAGATCATATTAGTTCTGGTAAAAATAAATGATTAGGTATTAGAAATGTACGGTACTGCAATTTTGCTAAAAGCTATATATATAGACCCCTACTTTCAAACAAAGCCTCATAGCCTACTAACTGTTTACCAGACATTGTTCTTGCCTTATTTAAACTATCCTTCAACTATGGAACAGTTCGGACGAAAATTTAATTTGATTATATAACTTCAAAAAAAAAAAGAGCTTTAGACAAAAAGGCTGATCCTCCAAAACTCTACCAGCATACAACCATTTTGGAGAGATTATAAGCGAAGTATTTATGAGTGATGAAATTACCGGTTCCCATCTCTAGATATCTAGATTAGATATAATTTTAATTCAGTTTAGATCTAAATAAGAAACACACATGGTGTGACTTAGTGCAAACGGAACTGCAATTGTACAGGAGGAGTGCCTTTGGGAGGAATTCCGTAATGAGCGACCACTGTGAAGCAGGAGTAGTATCGAGGGTTTGGGTTTGGGTCAGGGTTCTTCTTTTATTGTGTTTGTCGGGGTGGTCAATCGTTATGGAAGTCCTTCCCAGAATTTCTTACGTGGTAAGGGAAAGGATGCATTGCATAGAAAAATAAGGAGGGGAAACAAATCCCAAAATTTAAAACTCTTGTGATACCAGGAACTTTGTGTGAACTGGCGGAAGGCCTTCCAAAACAAGCGACCACCCCAACAAAGAGGGACCTAACCCCAACCCTCTATTTTAGAGTGGTCGTTCGTTACGAAACTCCTCTCAAAAAATGACATCAAGTTAAAATTTTTCAAAAGGCTACTGTAGGCCTACCTTGTCGCCTGCATCTGGATTCTTGTCCGGGTGGTATTTCAGCGCTAGTTTGCGATAAGCCTTCTTCAGTTCTGAATCTGTGGCTGTGGGCTTCACTTCCAAAATATCGTAAAATCCGGTCTCCTTCACCATTTTGAGCAGTAAGTGTGTGGTCGAGGTTGAGGAACAAGTTTTCCGTCTGTTCTGATTTCAAGCCCAGTTCTTGCACCAGGTGCTGGAGGGAGCTGAAATAAAATTGAGGATAACTTTTACTTTCACTCCCGCACACAGAGATGCACTGCTTCGGGGAGGGGGGTGTGTGTGTGTGTTCAAACTGTAGTACTGTTTGCTGCAGATCACAACATAAAGCCACTAAAACTGTCGCCAATCAATCATTTTCAAGAAAATTTCAAACCTAACTGTAAAATATCAAATTATGGGTTTAAAACAGGGGGTCAGGCCCCCCTGTAACCCCCTAGATTTTCTTTTACCCCACGGAGCAGCCCCCCCTGTAACCCCCTAGATTTTCTTTTACCCCACGGAGCAGCCCCCCCTGTAACCCCCTAGATTTTCTTTTACCCCACGGAGCAGCCCCCCCTGGAACCCCGATTGGCCCAAAGCTCACAAAAGACTACGCGGTTAGGCAGTGTGGTTTAGGTCCATGAAGAACAATCAGATATTTCAACAACTATTAATTTGCTACGGAAATGAAGTTGATATTCGAGTTGAGCGCATCAATATTAAGAAAATGGTCAACCGGTAGCTAAGTGTGAGACGGGAGGGAAAGTGAAAGAATACCAAAATCGATTAAAGGTAAGTTTGCAGTGAGATTTGGCCTCTAATACTTCAAGTAAACGAAACTCTAGCTTGGTAGTAATTACAATATTTCTAACAAGGGGCCCAATTCTATTCTTATTTCTATCTTTACTAGATTCTACTCACCTAAACTACCCTTAAGTTGGCTTAGATCTATATCTAGATCTAGCAGGCTACAGATTTACCAACAAAATGAACCCACATTGGTCTTGGTCTTTCAGCAATAATAGGCCTACATGAATCAATCAAAACATCAAATCATCAAAGATTTAAAACGATCATATGATTAGATCTATATCATTATCATGTCATGACGCAGATCAATCATGATCTGAATGATCACGGCCATGGTCACCAGTGTTGTTCTAACAGACTGAGCTAAATTAAAGTGTGTAGATCTAATACAAAAGCTACAGCGAGCACCTAGCACACCTCTGTGATTGGCCCAAATATAGATGACATATTTCCGCCTTCTATTTTTGTCTTCTTCCGGGGCTTCCCTCGCCAGTTGACCAGACTTGACCGTGGCGGGCCGCTTTGCCACTTAGCGGGCGATGGACTACGTTTCTAATTAATTACCAGATCTAAGTTTCATTGCTGACTGCTTTGGCTGTGTGAGCGCGCGCGCGTGTACAGAGGCAGGCTTGAGTGTGTGCGTGTACAACTTTGAGAAGGTGAACTTATGGAACGAAAATTGCTGAAATTGTTTATAAAAGATACCAAATTCACTTGGCACCCTTCAGTCTCAGGAGAATATGGACCTGCGCCGTCGGAGATTACTCAAGAGCAGCGCTTGCTGTGGCTGACCAGTAGGGATGGGCAGGTACCGGTACCCAGTATCAGAACTCCCGGTTCTACCGAAGGAGTGTGTGTGTGTGGGGGGGAGGGATGCGGGCGGCACTGATCGTGGCGTTAGACGCAAAGTCTGTGACGTCACCTACTAGAGTCACTCCCAGTAGCGGTTCCGGCGGTGTAGTATCGACACTGGATTTCGCCGGTACCGCCCACCGCTACTGAACAGGTCCACACGGGAATGACAGTCCCTGTTGCTGTGGCTGCACTTGTGAGTGTCGTCTTCCTGCGTTGGTAACCCTTGGCTGTTCTTTCGGCGAAGGCGTTTGTCCTCAGCAGCCTGTCGCAGTCGGGCTCCACCTCTGATGAGACCAGCTCGCAGCGCCTGTCTCCATTTGTCGCGATCACACGCTAGTGGCGCTTATCTCGCTTGCACATATCTTTGAAGCGAAGATGGGGGCGCCCTTGCACTCGCTTTCCAGAGAACAGCTCACCGTACACAAGTCCTTTGGGATTCTTCCATCCGGCACGCGATGCACCTGACCAAGCCAGCGGAGTCGGCGCTGCCGGAGTGGTGAACAGATTTGGGATCTGCATATGGGTGAGAACTGCGGTGTTGGTGACTTTGTCGCTCAACTGTACATCAAGGATGCGGATGCGCCTTAGGCTGCGCAAATGGAATGCATTGAGCCAGCCTTGGGCTGGGGGAAACTCCGGAAGACAACATAAATAGATGGCGGAAATACGTCATTTAGACCTATAATTGGGCCAATCCAAAGGTGTGCTAGGTGCTCGCTGCAGCTTTTATTTAGATTCCTAGAGAAAAGAGTACTAGATTCAAGATCTAGGATCAAGAAATCCTGGGGAATTTCTCCCATGCTTAGATTTAGATTAACAGAAAGGCTTTAACTCTTGTCCTTAGTCTGTGCTGAGATGCGAACCTTATCAGCAACTGGTTACGTCGGACATTCCGGGCAGGACGCTGGGGTCACTCAGTGTGTACTGTTGGTGTACAACGCGCGCGCCGGGAAACGTGAGTTTTCGCCATGAATACCGTGGGAGCGTGTTAATCGATGATGAAAATAACGCTCTATCTTTCATAGCTTTCTATTTATAAAGTGTTACAAAGACAAGCTGATAAGACATTACGAGTAGTTACGCCCATTCAAATAACCTTTCTGGGCGCTCTTGTTGTTGACCTGAGCGTGAGGTTCGAAAGGGGATATAACATCATCAGGTCATAAAATTGTTCTTTGTGCCTGCACAATGGTATTCAAAACTATCAATCAAGCTTATTTTTTATCAGGTAGATCTAGTATCACTTCATACAAAATCAAGCTCATTTGAAGGATTTTGTATAGAAAAATGAAAGTCTTGTTTCCTGACTATCCTTTCGAGTTCCTCAAGTAGATTCTAAGACCTAAGTGGGTCAATTTCTTCTATAATTTCATTGGACAAACATCTAGAGCTACCAACTAGGCATGTTTTGAATGAGAAGTACGAGTCGATTACGAACCAACGCAGGCGGTTCTAGAAGAAGGCCACAAACGCACACAAACTCAAGCAGACTGACGCACACACACTTGACCTGCGTGAATTGGGTTCCGATTCGGGACCCGAATTAATCTAGATAGAGATTAGATAGGCACTTGGATATCGGCCCGCGCGGCCCGAGATTTTCGTTCACCTGCGGCCGCCGCGTTTTGTGTCAGAAATCGGGCCCCGTGAGGGGGGTACCTATTTGTTTTGTTTCGTTTATAGTGTTCTTTTCAATTTATGGATTACTTCCGCCTATCAAATTAAAGAGGAAAGAAAGGCGCGTATTATGGCGTTTTCCACTTCGGGATCGGTTGTGTGTGTTTGGAGTTACAAGGAGTTAAAAATAAGGTAAGTTCAAGCCTTTATATTTAAAGAGTATATCTTTTTTTTTTTAGGTACTCCTCACAGTCTTTTCTTCAACCTTTTATCTCTTTTATTTGTTAATTTCAATGTTGTACGTTGAGGCATAAGCGTGTGAGCCCTAATTTAAATAGGTCACTCTCCATGAATGGGCATGACCTATTATCGATCGCGCTGCTGAGCGTGAACCGGGAGGTCATGGCGGCCATTGCGGAAAGCGAACTTAACCCACGCTAACGTGTATTGTTGGCGTTTATTACCTCTTAAACGGCATTGAAGAATGTTTTATAGTAGAAGATATGATTTATTTTAAATTTTGGAATGTAATATGTATCACTGTTGTATAATTCTTGTGAATTTGAACCATGTAACAATCAGTAAGGAGTCTTGGGTGGGGGGAGGGAAATGTAACAGCCTTGGCCTTGTTTTGTTTCTGTGTTACTGTCACTGTTAGACCATCGATTTCACGCAAGTTTTTACTTCTTTTGTGTGCTTATATTGTCTTTAAATATTTTTTCTTCTTAATTGTTTTTGTGTGTGCTTGTTATTTAAATATCTCTTTAAATTATCATGTACTTTGTCCAGTTTGTTTTAAGATAGATTATTAGATCTACATGTTTATTAGAAGATGTTTTTTCTCTTGTCTAGTCATCTACACCCTCCCTTTACTAGAGTTGTAGTGTGAAAATGTCAAATTTCCATCCACTGCTCACAAATGAATTTATTTACTTCATTGATGAATTCATTGCTTTGCTTTTTTTTTTCTTTCCACAGCCCCTGATCACAACCTGCCATTGTTCCATTGGATTTATTGACAGCTCACCAGAATAAATCCTGACTTTAATTAAAATCCAGAAATGCTTGCGGAGTTGGTCGAATTCACAGAAAAACTTGTTTGAACAAGTTGCAAAAAAATTGAGCACTTAAGAAAGCATTTGTTGCAGACAAGGGAAAAAAATTGACATTAATTTAACAATATCAAGTTGGCAGACTGGGTGAACTAAACAATTGCCAGAAATAAAGAAAGAATAAATAAGTATCATGACACAATTGCGTGCTTCAAAAAACATGTCATATTTCACAACTAATTGTCTTTGAAGAAGTTGAACATTTAAATAAACACAATAAAAATATAATGAAAAACTTGCTGAACAAACTGAAGTAATAAAATTAGAAGAGACTATTGTTTAACTTACAGGGCAATCTCATGAGTTAAAGATGTAAAAGAGAAATCAAAGATAAAGACAGAGTAATTGATCATTTACATGACAAATTAAAACTTGAAAGAAACATTCTAACAATAACATGCAAAATGAATTTAAAAAACAGTATTATCATGAATTAAGGTAGACTAAAAACACTAGTTTGCAGCAGCTGTAGACACAAATGTTAACTTTAAAAACTTCTATGCTCATCTTATTTTAGGCGACCAGCTGTTTTGTTAAAATATATTTTATTTTTTAATCAGTTTTTTTGTTAATTCTACTGATATTTGATATGTAGATGTTCCAAAAGAAAGGCCTTAAAAAGACCTTCAAAACGATACCTCAATTACTGATGTAGCTTAATTTATAAGAAAGTTATGGCAAAATATATTGACCGCAGGACGGTGCGGTCACGTTACACAACACAGTGTTACATAATATTACCCAATATTACCCACCACGACATATTTTAAAAATCTCGTCTGACTGTTATTTTGTCCTCAACATCACAAGGTTTCAGAAAATGTTTGGTTTTTGCATGTACGCAGCAGCATATTGAAGCAGCTAACATTTCCCTTGTTGTCCTTGCTGTTTCGATCACAAAAATTGCCTTTTTTTTCTATATAGATAGATGTTATCCCCTCGAAAAGATCTTTAAAATGCCATATCTCAAAAACGGTTCAACATAGAGCAATAACTAAGGTAGCGTTGGAATCGTGTCACTGAGCTCTTTGCATTGGTATTGTTTTTAAAGCAATTTGAAAGCTTTGAAATTTTTATCCAAGTGCCTATCCACTTTTTGGCGCTTTTTCGGTAGTTCCCACCCCGCAATTGTTATTAGCCGGTTTAGGCCTCAAGAGAGGGGGGTTTCAGGGGGGCTTGCCCCCCTGGCCTCAATAAAAATGTGGTGGGGGGTTTCAATTTTACCATAATTTGATGTTTTGCACTTGTTAGGTTTGATATCTTAGCTCGCATCAAACGTATAGACTAGATCTAGAATCTAGATCTCGATATAGGTCAGGCTCAAAATATAAGGGGGGTGGGAACTACCGAAAAAGCACCCACTTTTTTCAGTTAACCCTCGTCCTGCGGGAGCCGGGTTTATGTCGCCCGATAAGCCTATTTCGGCACTTCGCCTACATTCTGGTCCCAAATCAGTGTAGCCCCTGGCTCAGCACACGCTCAGCGCGCAACATCTTACGTGTCATTCGATCTAGATAATCTAGATTAGATATCTAATTGAAATGTTCACGTAGCCAGAGACGAGGCGGTATAGACTCTAGATCTAGATATCTAGATTAGATCAAATAAAACTCTCCAACTCCAAGACTCGAGCGATGTTTGAGTGTATACAGTATACGTGAGCGTGAATTCGTCAGTCAATCGGTCCTAAAATAGATATTCTAGATTTTATAGATTAAATATGTGGTCAATCATAGTCAATGACAATGTCAATCAAGTCAAAGATGATCTCGAATCGGCTGGTTTTAAACTGTTCTAATGTCTTCGCCGTTTTCCTCACCTCTGGGCTTATCTTTGAGCCACAACAGAACCTTTCGTCGCTTTATGAATGATGTGGGGTCGTCCAGGCCTCGAGACTCGAGTTTCTAATTTCTAAATTTGTCGAGAAGGAAGGAACAACCTAGAAATTTCCAGTGCAATCCAGGGCACAGTGCGCATGCGAACAGGATTTCTTTTCTTTGTTCTCCACATCCAGCACAAATTTTGATGACGTCATAACTGTATTTAAAAACAACTTTTGATTCATTTGAGAAAGATGTATACACTGTTTAGTTATTCACATTGATACCTCAATAGGCCTTCAATAGAATTATCAATGAAAAAACATTTATCTTTCACTCAAAAATATGCCTGTGTTCCTTGGTAAGGGCTTTGGCTTTGAAATAGATTTTTGATTAGCATAATGGCACTGCTCACGTCTTTTCGTCTTCGGATTGTTTTCTGGGGATAGTTTTCTACTTTCTCAAGGGACATAATTCCCCACGAATTGTTTACACTAGGCAACAACATGGCGCCGAAGAAACGATGGGAAATGTTTATCGCGATATTGGGTTGTTCCACTTTTGTCCTCTTCATGACGTATAAAGTTTCTTTTAATTGGTATGACGAATACAAAGTATTGCAGGAAGAGAGGCATTGGTCTGGTTTTGGACCCGAGCAAGGTAACGGAAAGGAAATTTGATGTAGAGATCTAGATCTAGAGATAGATCTATCTTATCTATTCTAGCTAAGACTAAGGCCTAAAGGTGATCTTTATACTTTCAAATGACTCCTTATTAATTTAGCACGTTAAATAAATACTTCGATTGATTTTATTCCCTTTTCCATAACGAGCGACCACTTTAACTCTTTGACTACCAAGGGGTTTTCCGCTCTGTGACCAAGGCATTTCTTAGTCTTAGAATTTCAGAAAAGTACCCCTGTTCTTCTTTTGTGTCTGATGGGCATAATTCCATCGGGAAGTCAGACATGTTATATACCAAAATGAAGGTAATTGAATGTAGAATATTTTTAATCTAATGAAAAAATTGAAAAAAATCATAAATCCAAACAAACATGGGAGGTAAGTGAACACAAGG